GTGTGTGTGTGTGTGTGTGTGTGTGTGTGTGTGTGTGTGTGTGTGTGACAGAGAGAGAGAGAGAGAGAGAGAGAGAGCTTGTGCGTGCGCACGCGTGGGGGGCAGTGTGCATGCGGAGAGTGCGGGGGAGTGTGTTTGTGTGTGTGCGTGTGGGTGTGAGTGCCTGGCTCCCTCTCTCTGACACACACACACACACACACACACACACACACACACACACACACACAGGGCAGGCTCGTCTGAACTTGAAGACATTCCACATTCCAAGAGGCTGCAGGTTCCTGGGGATGCCGGGGGTTTCTTCAATCAGGAAAATCTTAACCTCATCTTCCTAGGAGGGATTTTCTTTTCTTTCCTTTTCCCCCTTTATTATTATTATTTTTTTTAATCTGGAAGAGGAGAGCACAAGTTGTACTCCCCCTCCCGCCTCTTCTTGCTAAATGCCATGGATATAACTGAATAAGCTGCTCAGGGCTCTCCCCGTTTGGATGGTCCGAGGCCACCATCTGCCTGCCTTCGCTGGATCGCTGGAGTGGAGAGCTTAGCGTGAGACTGTCTGGGGCCAGAAAGGATGCGTGGCCGAGTCAGGGAGCCCGGGCGCCCTGCGGAGCCGGCCTCGGAGCCTCCCAGCCGCGGGTAGATGCCGCCTTGCCCAGGTGAGTGGCTGTCACTGTCTTGGCGAAGCTGGGTCGTCCGCGGGAGATGGGCGCAGGGATGTGCGCACCCCAAGAAACAGGGGAACTTTGCCTCTTTTCCTGCCTCCCTTGAGGACTTCCTCCATCCTGGGTACTGGTGTGGACGTCTTCTCTCTTTCAGACATCCTCCTTTCTGGTGTTTTGATTATGTGTGTGTGTGTGTGTGTGTGTGTGTGTGAGGAGGGGGTGAAACTGATGAGGACCGGGGAGAGCGGGTCTGGGTGAGGTTTCGGTCCGGGTGAGGCTTGAAAGTCGGAGGAAGAGACTCCAGCTTCCTACAAAGGCAACCCTTGAATACAGAACTTTGCCGCCAGACCACTCTGTTGCATCTTAGCACAGGCCAGGCCTGGCCAGGATGTTGCTGGGATCTGGGTGAAGGCGCTAGGGTCTTCCAGAGCTTAATGCCTGACTGGGGTTGGGTGGAGATACGCGAGGGGTTGATGCAGTGCCGTGAAGGGGAGGGAGGCATGGTTGCCATTTGAGGAGGCAGTCAGGACAGGAGCAGGGACCCGATCCTGGCCTCAGGCAGGTCTTACCAAGATAAGGAGGACTGTGTATGCCTGCAAGGCTTGGGGCAATAGAATGCCATGATGAAGCAATATATAAGCTAGCGTTAGCCATGCTCAGGTTGGTAAGTCTCTGTCTCCCACCCAGCCCTGCCCTGCTTCTAAAGCTGGCCTGAACAAGGAGGACTGAGAACACAGACAGCTCCCGGGAGGAGAGCAGTGCCTTGCTTCCTCTCTTCCCTACGGAGTGCACAAAAGACAGAAGCATTGAGTTCCAGGGAGAAGAGACCAGACCGCCAGAGCTGGAGAGACACAGAAATGAGAGAGGGAAGGAGAAAGGGAGGGAAGAGAGAGGAGAGAGAGAGAGAGAGAGAGAGAGAGAGAGAGAGAGAGAGAGAGAGGAGAGAGAGAGAGACTATCAGACAGAGCCTGCAAAGGAACTAATGCCAAGTGCACTCAGAAACAGCTGCAGACAGACAGACAGACACCTGCAAGGAGAGGGCCTGTTAGTCTGTCCTCGAAGCTAGAGCTCCAAGCATCATTATAGATCCTTCTATCCTGGTTAAATCAGTGCATGTGTGTGCATGCGTGCGTGCGTGCGTGCGTGTGTGTGTGTGTGTGTGTGTGTGTGTGTGTGGCTTAAGAAGCTGAGGCAGGAACCCAGCTAGGGAAGAAAGTACTTCCAGGCAGTGGAGTTCCAGGCTCCAGCGCAGAGGTTTAAAGTGGGCTGTTGCACTTGGGTGGGGGCCTAATGGAAACTGGTGCTTGTGCATTGGGGATGTAGGCAAAATAGGAGCAAAAAAACTGGAGTTGTGTGCCACGTCTTGGGTTCAGAGGGAGTGTTAACAGCAAGCCATGCAGCCTGGTGGAGGGGACCTGCAGGGGGGGGGGCACCAGAAGCTGAAAAGGGAGAGTTTGGGCGAGGAAGACCTGGGCTTGAAGTGTCTAGCCTCGCGGATCCAGCACCTCGTGGATCCAGCGCTGCCCCTGCCCTCCTGCCAACTGTGTCGCATCTGCTCCCCTGCCTTGAGCAGGGGTTAGAGTTCTGTGGCCACTCTCTCTCCTCCAGGCCCCCTTCCTAGCCTTCCTGCTCGAGTTTCTGGTCTAATTTCTGCCTTGGAAGGAAGGCAATTCCTCAACTCAGGAAACACAAGCAGCAAACAGAGCATTTCTGGTGCAGTCTCCAGTGAGGCTCCTCAGGAGGACAGCTCCCAGTGACCACTCCGGGGGCAGGATAGGATCTGCCATAATCAGCTCCCAGTGACCGCTCCGGGGGGGCAGGATAGGGTCTGCCATGATCAGAAGGATGTTGGGATCTTGTCTTTCTTTGAAGGCCTAGCAATGTGAGCAGGGAGCATTGAGAGGTCGAGTTGAGGGGATGCAGGATGGGAATAAGGGATGTAGACAGTAGTGGGGTTGCTCTAAGACCCTATGGCCCTGATTTGGCTCAAGAGAGAGCCTATTTTCTTATACTTTCTCCTGCTTCAAAGTAAAATCAAGGACTCGGGGTTTCTGGCTCCCAGCTGCTGGCATGAAGGGTGGAGCAAGTCTGTGCTTTTTATCTTCTCCTTGTTGTTTAGGGGGTGCTGTAGAAACTTCCAAGCTCCCAGACTGGGGGTGGGGGTGTCTACACAGGCACAATTGAGAGTAGATGTTGGAAGTAGAATTCCTTTCAGACAAATCCCCTGGCCTGAAGCAAGGATGAACACAAGGACTGGTCCTACAGGGGTTACACTTCGATGGGAGGGGTTACCAGACAAGGGCAGAGAAGTGGAACAGGGAAAGGGGTGGGGGGACTCTGAGCAGAGGCCCTTGTGGATTTCTTTGGGCAAAGGAAGGCAAGGCAGAGTTTGGTCACATACTGAGATACAAATTAAATGTGGACAGGCTGGGTTCAAATCCTGACTCTGTCAAGACTTTGTTAATCACATGAGACCCATAGTCTCACCCCCATGAAATGAAATAATCACATACATCAGGCAAATGTGTGCTGAGCCATGGATTCCTGGCAAGCTCCATCCCTTTCTTAGGTTCTGGGGACTACTCCATTCATAGGGGAAAGAGTGGGACAGGGAGAGACCTTCAGAGACTCAGGGGGGTAGGAGGATGGAGCCTCTGCTTCCCTCCCCACTCAGGAAGCTCTCCAGAAAACTTTAGGAATGGATTTAAAGACATCAGTTTCCCCTCTGGGGCCCTGCACCTGCTTCTCTTTCTCATAGGCATTTGCTCAGAAAGCCAGGCTCTGTGGTTTGTAGGTTTCATTCCATACCCTTGCCTGCCCGAGGCTCTAGTGTGAAACATGCCCCCTCCTCCCTGCAGGCCCTGAACCCTCCTCCCTGCAGGCCCTGAACCCTCCTCCCTCCAGCC